CCAAGATAACCTCGGCATAACTACCACGATACGTGGCACGTCGGCTGACACGTCGGCGTCACCATGCCACGTGTTGATACTCAGAAAATATATTCCCACAATGTGTTAGAGTAAAGAAGTGTGGAGTTTGTTATGCTTGGTTTGTAATCCCTGCTTTTCAATTTCCTTGTGAGTTTGTTACGCTCACTTTGTAAGACACATGCATTTCTTTAATGTTATGAACTTTTGTGAGATATATATATACATATATATTTGATGTATTATTTTTTTTGGGAAATCTCTCTTATCCTTCTTGACATACAAATTATTATTGTTATGTGGGAAACAATATTTTTTGTCTTATTTTGTTTTGTTTTTGGGATCAACAAACAAGAAAAATCATATAATTAATTGCAAGAGCATACAAATAGAAAGCAAGTCAGCCTAATCTCTTCTTATAGCAGCGTTATAGTTTTAGTGACTTTTTTAAGATATCGCTGAAGTCCCTTTTTTGTGTAATGAAAGAGTAAACAACGACAAAGAAAAAATAATAATAACAATAATTTGTTTGGCTCCTCTATCGTAAGAGTAAAAATAGAATACAATGGTGATACAATTTCAAAACAGTAGTGGTATATGTACCAATTAGTATATCAATTAGTGTATCAAGATATGTTATGACATTATTATTTCAAAATTATGGACTCCACCTATTATACAAATTACAAAGATTCAAAATCCCTAAAATTATATTACATCATTCATTACTATATTAATTGGTATACTAATTAGTGCGTATAATTTTATTCATTTCGACCACATGGTATCACCCCTCAATAACTAAATATTATATGAATAAATAAATCCTACATAAACACAAAATAATTATTGGAGAAATTATTATTTAGGAGGTGTTTTGAAAAAAATATTCTAAAATAGTGGAAAAAATTATGATTTTAATTATTAATATTCATAAAGTTTATTACTTTTTTGTAATATTTTTTTTGATACACTACTGATTTGTAATTCCCCCATAATTATTTATATATACATGATACTTATTAGATTATGTTTAATTTGGTTCATCACACATGTATTATCTTTTTATTAAAAGGTGATATCAAGTTATTACGAACCAAGCATAACAAAATGAAAACAAAAAATTCTATAAATAATTTTCATATATAGTGATGATTGATTATGGACTATTCACTTCAAAATAAAATACTATTAAAGATATATTTATTTATAATAATGACATTGCCATATCATTTTTGTAGAATTGTTTTTAAAGAATTTTATATATGAATAGAATTTTTCAAATAAAATTGAGACTAATGGTAAAAAAATAAAAATAAAATTGAGATGAGGAATCAATCAATCTAATAATAATAATAATAATAATAATAATAATAATAATAATAATAATAATAATAATAATAATAATAATAAGAGTGGTCATTATCTATTTGGCTTGATTAATATATATATATATATATATATTTAAACTTTTATTTATTCTCTTACTTTTGTCATTGTTTATCTTATATATAATAGTTAGTGATTGATTTTTTGTATAATATAAAGTCATTAATTATTAAAATAAAATGTAAAAAACTCAGTTTGTAATGATTTAAAAATATAAAATATATTGGATCAAACTAAAAAATTTATAAAAATTAATCAATATTTATTTTAAAACTCAATAAATATGATCATGGAAAAAAAATGTGCGTATCGGTAAGTTTTTTTCAAATTGTGCGAAAAATAAAAAAATTCACGGTTCCGGTTACCGCAACCGTTACACTACGGCCTTTACACCCCGCAACCGCAACCGCTCCACCGCCACCGTTACGGCGACCGCAACCGCTTTTCAGAACCTTGCTTGCAAAGGTGCTTATCTAGATTGCATATGCATTACAAATTTATGATTTATAAATAATTTTGTATGATCACCAAAAAAAATAAAAAATAAAAAAGTTCAACCCGGTTTCCTTTTTGAACTGACTGATTTCTCTCTAGTCTAGCGTTATGATTAACTTTTTGCTTGAAGCAAATGTGAAATCCATTTCAAGCTGCCTTTTTGGACTGTGTAGTGCAGCTTATATGAGCTGATTATAGTTTCTTCTTCTTTTTCTTCTTTTTCTTTTAAATTTTGGAAGTTTATGTTAAACTGTTTGGTACAGTTTCTGTTTATAGTTTATTTGGCAGAAATAGTTTAGATAACCATAGAAGCTATGAGATTGGTGTTTTTGACATCTATTTTACGATTATCAGCTTTTAGCTTATAAGAAAAATTCCTCAAACAGCCCAAATTCCAAATACTTGCAAGCCGTCACAAATAGTAAGCATAAAGTAAGACAAAGCCCTGTCAATAATAAGCAGTGTGTTTGTTTCAGTTTTTTGAATTATATTTTTTGAAAATTAAGTTTTTTGTTTTCTGTATTTTTTTTTTCATTTAGTGAATATTTTTAAAATTTTAAGAATTTTTTTTTTACTTTTTTAGATGCATTTTATTTAGATTTATCTAAATAGTAAAATATTTGTGAAAAAATATTTTAAAAAATTAATAAATACACAAAAATACAAAAAAATGTATTGAATTTTGGTATTATTATTATTATTTTATATGTTTGGTATTTAGTAAATTTTTATCAATAAATCTTATTTCACAAACAATTACTTCAATTAGTCTCAAGTTTTTTCTATTGATCTGTTAAGTCTTATTAGTGAAAAGTTTTTTTTTTCCGTGAGGTCTTATTTTTGATTTTGGTAGTATTTTGATGGACAATTATACCATTTTATTAATGCGACAGGTATGATATAATACTCTAATGTGGCAAATATTAATGTGACACTCCAACGATGTGATACCTCAAAAAAATTAAAAACTCCTTAGTGTACTTTTCTAAATGAGATAACGTGGCAGGTATAATGTGACACTCCAAAACTTTTACTCAAAAAAAATGAAAAAAAATCTTAATTCATCTTATTAATTTCAAGAACAAAAAAATAAAAAATGAAAAAAATCTTATTAATTAAGGTTGCAATTTTTTTTATTTTTTTTATTTGCAAACTCTCAATTTTGAAAATGTAATCAGAATTTTAATATCTTTACATTGTATATTCTATTAGTTATGTAGTGATTTCTTGACTCGTTAAAAGTTTGTTCGAGATCAACTAACTATGTACACAAGTCAAGTTTTAACACAATTGTAGATCAATAAGTTTTCAAATAAGACTTAAACAACTCGTCTCGATAAACTTATATGCATTATGAAAAAGTAAGCCACTCAAAGTCGACTCGTATTCAGTTCGTTAAAAATTCATTCGAGATCAACTCGTTATGTAAACAAGTAAAATTTAAACACAATTTTAAATTCATTTAGTTATCATATTATACTTGAACAACCTATTACTTGATTTAAGTCGGATGGTTTTTAACCCTACTTTGGATTTTGATTTTTTTTTTTTTTTTTTTTTTTTTTTTTTGTGTTATTAAAAAGCATTGGTTGTTTACTAGATCTTTGCATCTTTATTTATTCATTTTGGCATACTCAACATTACATCAATAGTACTGTTCTTGTAATCTCTAAACCCTTATTCTTTGCTGCTGATCAATTTCTAGACAATGTCTTCATAAAAGAACTTCTTAAAAGCATCCAGGCGATCCACTTGAAGACACAATGCAACAACCAACGATCCATCCTCGTTGTGACTTGGTAGTAACAAAGTGTCACCATCAAGATCATGATTTCCTGGACCCATGTAGATTTCCTTTCCCCAACCAAAATCCACCCCATACATTGGCAAGCTCATCCAACTTGTCACTCCAAGATTTGGGTTTCCATAGAAGAAAGGCTTACTCTCCTGGTCTACTGCATGTAGATATTGAAACTTTGACAAGTCTGTTTGGTTCTTGAGAAAATTAATGGCTGAGTTGAGGTACTCATCAGTCACTTTCTCAATTGCTTCTCTTATTCTACTTGAAGCATAACCTAATGGTCTTGACAGTAGCTCACCCGAGTAGGCAGTCGCGACCACATCTACAGTTGCATTGCCAAAGTACTTTTGTGGCAATGGTGGTTTCTTGCAACGACTGCGTGAATCAACAGTCACAACTAATGATGTCAGTTGCTCACTTTTGTGCCCGCGTGCCTTGCATGCGCATCTCCATATGTGTCCAGTGATCGACTCATAACGAGTGTAAGCACGACAAATAGTACTAGTCCAGTTCCACCCTTCATTAGCCTTATCCTTGATTCTCTCAACTTGGGTTTTTGTCAGTTTCAACATCGCTGTCGTGGTTTTCTTCTCTCTCTCTTCTTTGCTGCTTGTTTTCCCAATCAAAAGTGGCGGTTGATTGAACTGGGCATGATCAAAATGTGATTTTGGTGTTGGATCAACAGCTCGCAGATCCTCCAACACCTTTCGATCAAGGAATGGTGATGCAGATATTGGTTCGCCTCGAGCAAGCCTAGCCCACTCGGACACAACCACATCTACAGTTGCATTGCCAAAGTACTTTTGTGGCAACGGTGGTTTCTTGCAACGACTGCGCGAATCAACGCACACACCTAATGATGTCGGTTGCTCACTTTTGTGCCCGCGTGCCTTGCATGCGCATCTCCATATGTGTCCAGTGATCGACTCATAATGAGTGTAAGCATGACAAATAGTACTAGTATAGTACCACTACTAGTCCAGTTCCACCCTTCATTAGCCTTATCCTTGATTTTCTCAACTTGGGTTTTTGTCAGTTTCAACATCGCTGCCGTGGTTTTCTTCTTTCTCTCTTCTTCGCTGCTTGTTTTTACAATCAAAATTGGCGGTTGATTGAACTGGGCATGATCAAAATGTAATTTTGGTGTTGGATCAACAGCTCGCAGATCCTCCAACACCTTTCGATCAAGGAATGGTGATGCAGATATGGGCTCGCCTCGAGCAAGCCTAGCCCACTCGGACACGAAATGAAGAGCGCTTTGCCCATCAACAACCGCATGTGATATTGTCATGCCGAGGCTAATGCCCCCACAACTAAACTTCGTTAGTTGCACAATTAGTAATGGCAATTCATGGATAGGGGTGCTCTTGTAGTTAACACAAGGGATAAGACAGTCAAACTCGGGGGACGGAGAAAAGTCGCCAAAATCATCTACCTTGGACTCGGAGTCAGCTTCAATGAGCTGAACACCCATGGCATTGCAATCGAGCACTAGACGACCTCCACCTATGGAACTCAAACGACCGGCTAATGGATAAAAATGCACCAATGCCAAGCTCAATGAATCTCTTAGTGTTTTTATGATCTTGTAAGTTGGAGTGAGCCACTCTTTTGGAGGTTTGTAGAAGTAGATAGTGGGAAAATGAGTTATGACATCTATTTGATCCCATTCTGACAAGGTAAGACAACCATTTTGTGTTGGCTTTGCTGGTTTAACCAAGCAAGAACCTCTCAAGCTCACCACCATTTTTGTTGAGAGAGAGAAGAAATGGTTATAGTTCAATTCCAAATTAAGTGTATTTAAAAGGTTGGTAGTATACATGAAATGGAACCACACGTGGCACATGAGCTCATCTGCACGTAACAAAGTGAGTGTTTGGAAAGTTACAATTTTAATAAGCCTCCGTTTGGGAAGTGGGTTGGCTTTTTGGCTTTTTAACTTTTTGGCTATTTTAGCCTGGGCTATTTTAGCCTGGTTTGGGAAGGGCTTTTTGGCTTTTTGGCTTTTTTGACTTTTTTTGTGAGAGAGGATTGTAATGATTATGGGTTGGATTTGATGTTTTGTTTTTTGTGGCTAAAATAGCCTATTTTGTTTTTTGTGACTATTTTAGCCAAAGAAGCCTGACTTTTTGCTTGCCAAACGGAGGCTAAGTTATTTTAGTTTTAAATTATTTTAGTAGGTTAAAATTTTTGTGTTTGAAAAGATAATTAGATTTTTTTTTATATAATTGGATGTGATGTTTGTGAGAGAAAAAGTGAAATGAATATAAATTTGTTGTGACATTTTGTCTTGTTAATTATTTTAGTCTATTTTGTCATTTTGTGAATTTTAACTTAAAAAGCCAAAAAATAAACTTTGCCGAATACACCAAACTTAATTAATAAAGTTTGTTTCAATGATGTTCCATATTGTGCCTGTTTGGTAAAAAAAATTTTCAGCTTAAGGCCTCGTTTGGAAATAGGTTAATTTAGTAACGTTTTGGCTATTTGGCTAAAATATGATCTAAAAAAAATTAGTATGTTTAGGATGACTTTTTAATTTTTTACGAAAAGATGTACAAAAAGTAGAGAGAAAAGAGAATTTTTGACTTTTTAATCTGGATTGTTGGTTTTTTGATTTTTTTAGTGACTTTTTGACTTTTTAAAAGTCACTTGCCAAACAAGGCCTAAATTCCCTTTTGGCTTAAATTAAGCTATGTTGGTGTGTTTGGTATAACTTATAAACCACAGATTATAACTTAATTTAAACCTTTTTCGGCTTAAATCTGAAAATTGCTCTAAGGCCTCGTTTAGTTACCCTCCCTTTTAGCCAAAAAAATTAAAAAGTTACTAAAAAAGTTAAAAAATTAACAACTCATACAAAAAAGTCAAAAATTCTTTTTTCTCTCTACTTTTTGCACATCTTTTAGTAAAAAATAAAAAATTCATCCTAAACATACTAAATTTTTTTAGCTCATATTTTAGCCAAATAGCCAAAAAGTTACTAAATTAACATGTTCCCACACATGGCCTAAGGGTGCTTATAAATTTAGCTTAAGCACAGCGGAAGCTTCTATTTGCACACACAATATACACTTTTTGCACATCTTTCTCAGTATATTTTTTGCACATCCTCTTCATTAAGTGTGTGTATAGAGTGGGTTTAGTGTGTATAAATAGAAGTTCCCAAGCGCAGCTGATCTTGGAGAGGCAAAATTACTTAAATGCCCTCCAAAAACTTAAGAAATTACAAAAGTGCCAACATATAAACACAGTTCTGAGTTCAGACCTAACCCTTCTCCTCTCAAACGATGCTCTCCTTTTCTCCTCTCCTCTCGCTGCCGAACGACGAAGAACTGCTCCACACATTGAAGATCGTCGGTGATCGTCCTTGTTTTCCGTTGATCTCCACCAAAAAATAAGATTTGAAACCCTAAACTCTATGTTTTGTTATACATAGACATATATATTAGATATACACATTGATTTAGGGAATATGCCCTTCCAGCCAACCCCCCTTCTCTCTCTCTCTCCGAAGAGGTGGAAATCTACAGTAGCAGAAGAAGAAGATCAATGAAAGGAGTAGCTTTTCTTCATCTTTTCAATCTCTGGTATTTCGAACTTCTTAGTTTTCTCGCTTCTTTTACCTCTTGTTTTATTCTTTTTCAACATCAAAGTTTGGATTTTTTTTTTAATCCTTCTTGTCTGTGCATTTCGTTGCCTGTATGATTTGATGATTTTGGATATGGGTTTGATATTTTAGTATTAAACATGTTACGAATCATTGGAATTTGGGGTTAAATTTTGTTGATCACTGCCAGTGAAATTGCAATGGAAAATTTAGGACAACCCACCATTTGTTTGTTGACAAAAATCGATGCAAAGAAAAAAAAATTAGCTTTTGAATCAACTGTTTTGCGTTATTCGTGTCACCTAAAGAATGAAAATTTCAGTAGTTTTTAATCGAAATTTTTGTGTTTTGTTCAGTAGAATTGAGGTATTATGTTGTCGGAAGTTCCCGATGAGTTTTTTTTTTTTTTTTTTTTTTCTGTTACCTAAATTTTCTCTGCAACCAAACAGAGTGCGGAGATATTTTTCATGGGTTTGGTTCAAATTTAATTAATGGGAAATAGGAAAGACTGTGTTGATGTGTTTTTTTCTTGCTTGTAGGCAATTCAGCTGATGAGGATATTTTTTTTCCTTCTCCTATTTCCTAAATTTTCTTTGCAACTAAACAGAGTGCGAGAGGAAAATTTTCATGCGTTTGGTTCATATTTAATTGTTGTGAAATCCAAAAGACTGTTGATGTATTGTTTTCTTCTCTGCCTGTAGGTAATTCAATTGAAAACTGCACATGGATAATGGTTTAGGGCAAGATTTGATTAGTGATCTGCCTCGAAGTATTATAAAACCATCCTAACAAAGTTTCCGATAGGAGATGTAGTAAGAACATGTAGTTTATCAAGTAAATGGAGGTGTAAATGGGCTAACGTTTCTTCATGATGGACCAATTCACAAGTTCAGTTTGTCTAGCGCACACTTGCAAAGCTCACTTGACTTGTTTCTTGGCAGTGTACCATATCTTGAGAGACTTATCTTACTTTTATGTTGTGTTTGGTTGGGGGATTTGAGGAGAGATTTGAAAAGGAAAATGGAAAAGGTAGGTGAAATGTGAATAAAACATGTCTATATTTCGCCTAGTTTCACACACCTTTTCCCTTTTCCTTTTTAAATCCCTCTTCAAATCTCCCAACCAAACATAACATTAAAGGATTGACTCGTTTGGAGCTAATTCGATGTGAATTGAACCCTACTCTGACTTTTAAAGGATTCTTATGTTCAAAATACCTCAATCTTCAACAAGTTTTAATTGCCCCCGATGTTGTTGAAAGTCTCATATCAAGTTGCCCTTTTGCTTGCTATATCTGTTGCTATGCATATGACTGATGATATTGCCGAGCATTTTGAACAAAGTTCAAGTTACAACTTTGATAAGTTTCTTGGCATTGTACCATGCCTTGAGAGACTTATTGGACATATTTACTTCACCATGGTAAGACTTTACTAAATATATTTTTTTATTTATTTAGGTTCTATGGAAAACATAGTCTAGTGCTTACTTGTGGCCAAAGTGCTTTCTTATGCTATTGTTTTTGTCAAATATTTGAGTATAGGTAATGACCTAGGAAAACTTCCAGTTGCGTATAACCATTTAAAAGTTATTGAATTGTATCAAGTGAGTTTTGAGGACATGAAGAAGATACTGGTGGTTATTCATTTGATTGTGAACTCCCATTGTTTACAACAACTTCAAATTTCGGTGAGTAATCTTAAACTCATTAAATATTTTATATTTCAGATTACAATGGCCATTCACTTGCTCATTTCCTTATATTGATTGATATAGGGTTCTTCAAATACATCAACTGCAACAAAAGCTCTTGATTTGGATTTTTGGGAGAAAAAATGCCCGTCTGATTGCACATTCAGTCTGCTTGAAACTGTGAACATGACAGATATGTCTTCTGTGCCACATGAGATGGAATTCATCAAATTTTTACTTAGAAACTCACCAATGCTCGAGACAATGAGCATTACGACTAGTGTATATGTTACAGATGGAAGATTGCATATGTGGATTGAGTTGGTGAGGTTTTGAAGGGCTTCTGCACAAGCTGAAATCATCTTCATCCAATTGTGTTTCTTTTCCTTCTTTTGACAGATCATTGGGCTTCCATTTGTTGGTTCTAATTTATATATATTTTACAAAAATGCTGATTGAATTGCCTCATAATCATCTTCATAATGATCATTTTTCTTGCTGTTTTAACAATAATCATATTTATTTCACGGTAAAAAAATAATTATAAGTGGAACTTGGGTGTTACATATAATAATGTTGGTCGGCTATCTCTAGATAAGCAACCTCGTTTAATTGGTAGAAAGGTATATGCAACTCAAAACATAATGGGCGCATGTGACTTTGATATGTGTTTCATATTTTGCTTACCAGGATGGGAAGTGCATACGATAGTGTTTCATATTTTTATTGCAATGACATCTTTATGTTCCCTTGTCAACTCAATATTATTATAAAAAAAAATTAAAAAAAAAATTGAGGTAAATGAAATGTAACAAATTAGGTACAATTAATTAACTTCTATTAATGAAATAATTTTTTCAAAATTTAAAGAGAAGAAAATGATAAAATTGCAAATTTTTTGTTCGTAAGGGCAAAAGTGATAATTATGTAGCAAAAAGTTATTTTACAGTTTATTATCAAACACTATTCTACTACTTAAATCTATAATCCCACAGTTACACCAGACAGGTCACTTATAAGTTATAATCTGTTAAGTTATAATTTATAATTACTTTCTTACAGTTCTACTAAATGGAATTATTGTTGCTTGAAATGAGCTCCTCATGAATCTTGTGGTACCTCAAAAAGTGAAGAATGCCCGTTGTGGCAGTTGTACAACAGAGTTGCATATGTTTTAAGGGTAGAAAATTGTTAAGGATCTTAAAAGTTTAAACTCAAAAATTATTTGGAATAGTTTTGGGTCATAGATGTACTATTCTGATAATTTTTCAAAATATATATCATTGTTATTAAGAATGGGAATGATATATAGTTTAATACTTCACTGTTAAAGTTTGATTAAGATTTTCTTCATTAGATCTACTTTTTTAATACATGATATTGGTACACGCAATTAAAATTTAAAATTAACTATTTCAATTATTATATTAATTTAAATTTTAAAATTTTCAACCACTAATTTTGAATTTGCAATGGATATCTTTTTTTTTTTTTTTTTTTTTTTTTTTTTTTTTGGCGGTAGGGGGTGTTGAATAATGGATATTTGTTCATATATTTATTTACAACCATTAATTATATAATAAATATCTTCATTCCAACTATTTAGTGAAGATGATTCTTATCATATTGGCTTGAATAAATTCTAACTGTTTCACTTCATTGTATTCAAAATTTAGGCACATTTTTTACAACAAGGTCATTATTTGAGCAAATTGAATGCTCGATTTGATATCTTATTATGCTGGATATCTTGACTTTTTTAAATTACTGAAAAATCTAAAATCCTCAAAGATTGTGATTTGTAATTAAGATTCAATTTCAATAATGAACAACAATTTCAAACAAGCAATCATAGATCTAATCTAATTCAAAAGAGAATTGAATTGGATCTACTATCAAGCAACAATAAAGAACAAAATGATTTTATGTGAAAAAACTACAATCGGACCCCTCCAATTATAATAAAAAATCACAGGATAAAATTAAAAAACAATTCACTAAGAAAACAATGAAATTATACAAGAGAATTCTAAATAACGTAGCAAATTCATGCCCTATTTGAACCGAACTTGTTATGCCTCTTCCAACACTGTCTTCATCTTAAAATTGTTTTACCCAATATTGAATCCACAATGCCAAAGTTGAATCCATGACGAAGAGTTACTTCGGAATCCTACAAAGTTTCAAAGCTCAAGTTCTTTGGAATCCACCGATGAACATCTCTATAGAAAAGTGTATTTGAGTGAAAAATCTCTTAATGATCTTCAATACAAACTTGTTGATTTATATAGATCACTCTCAATCCATCAAGGTACACACATGAATCATACTCGAGAACTGTCTCTTTATTTTTCACATTCCAGGAATCAATATTTGAGAGTTTCGCTGAAATCTAATCCAAAAATGCACATTTAAGTGATTCAAACCACCTTAGACTGCTCGAGCGCACATTTGGTCGCTCAAGTGAACTTTTTGATGTTCCAATATTTTTTTTTTTGGAGGTTTTGAGAAGTTGTAAATATGTTTAGACCGTTCGAGCGCAATTTTCTACTTTCAAGCGCACATGTCTCCCCGCAAGTGCAATTTTATGTGCTCGAGCGCACATTTATTTCAGCACAAATTGCTTTGCTCAAGCACAACTATGAATTGGATTGAATTCGTATCTAAACACTCTCATTCTCACAAAAACAAAAGAGCGAATACAATAACAATTGAATGAAGTTTTGTCCAATAAAATTGTCAATCACAAAATACATAACAATTATGATATCGTAATATTTATCAATATAAATATATTGGGTAATACATTTTGAAAATCTAGGCCTGGTTTGGCATACACTAAAAAATACAAAAAAGTTACTAAAAAAGTAAAAAGTTATCACTATTCACCAAAAAAAAATATACAAAAAAATCCCTTTACACAGACCAAGTACAAGCCACTGTCAGTATTGAAGTGATGGTAAGTAATGGCCACACAGGTGTACAAAAAAAATTTGCACAAGAGGGTGCTATTCGGCCTGTGGGCCTATCATGGGTCCCGTTTTAATAATCTAAACCGTCAATGTGTAGAACTCGTCGAGTACTATATTCTTGTAAAAAATCACGTTGATTGGATATCGATAACTATATGATCTAATCAGTTTTGTAAAAAAAAAAAAGATGGTAAAGAAATTAACGGTTGACAAAAAACTAATCTGATTAGATAGTTATCGATATCCGACCAATATGATTTTTTCCAGGTATATAACACTTGACGAGTTTTACATATTGAACAGTTCCGATTATCAAAACGAGACCCGTGGTGGCCCTCACGAGCTGAACGGCACTGTCTAGTCTGATCTGAGACTGTAGGCAATCTGCTCCTATACTTGTTTCCTACCCACCGTCTGACTTCCTGGATAGTCCGAGTTAGTAGGCAATTCATTATAGTAGAGGTAAAATGGTAATTTTACTATTTTATACAATATTTTTATATACATTTTTTTGTAAAATGTCAAAAAATTATCCCAAACAACTACATTTTTTTTCTCTACTTTTTAGTCTAAAAAGTCAAAAAGTACACTTATTTATAATATCCTAAACAACCCTCTAATGTCATAATCACGAATTCCAATTATTGAAACAAAAAAATAAAATAAAATAAATTTATAGACAAAAATATTCATGAAAAGAAAAAAGAAAATAAAGTTGACATAAAACAGGAAAAAAGAAAAAAAAAAGTAGAGGAAAAAAGTTGACAATGAAAAAAAAGAAAAAAGAAAATAAAGTTGACATAAAACAGGAAAAAGAAAAATAGTAGAGGAAAAAAGGTGACAATGAAAAAAAAGAAAAACAGAAAGAAGAAAAAAGCAGACCAAAGAAATATTAAAAAAAAATAATTTATGTAAAAGTAAAAGTGAAAAAAAAATATAACATGCGGGTTGTTTGGAATGAACTATATAAGTGTATTTTTTGACTTTTTGAATAAAAAAATAGAGGAAAAAATATGATTATTTGGGATAACTTTTTAATTTTTTACACAAAAATGTGTATAAAAATATTATATAAAATAACAAAATTACCTTTTCACCGCTATGCCCCTATGCGTATTGACAGTGATGATTGAACGAAGCCAATACAGATTGCTTTGAAGTTGTGTGGTGGGCAGCATACTTCAAAAGATATATCTATCTAATTTTTTTTTTTTTTTGAACATGTTTCTTGTTTTCAGCTTGCACCATCATTTCAATATAAATTTGGCTTGTACTTTTTTTTTATCAACACAAAAAAAGTTCGGTCTTTTTTTCTCTGCCTCATGTTGTGCATGCTCCCGCTCTTGGTTTTTGTGAATAGTGATAGTTTTTTTTTGATTTTTTAAGTAATTTTTGACTTTTTTGTTTTTTATAGAATATCTCAAACAAGCGCTAGGTTGTATTTGGTTAACAAATTGGAGAAAATATTTAAAAATGAAAAGAGTAAAAGTGTGTAAAATATATTTATATTTGATTCATATTTTATCTAACTTTTTTTTTTAAAAAAAAAAAAATCTACTTAAATTCATAAACTAAACACAATGTAACTACGAAGAAAAAAAAAGTAAGTAAAATAAAAATTAAAAAAAATATCTGCTCTTTTTGGCATAAAAATATCTACACTCTTTGGCATAAAAATATCTACTAATCTAAATATATATTTTGAACATATTTCCTCTCTTTTCAGCTTGTACCATCACTTTAATACAAATTTGACTTGTCCTTTTTTTTTTCAATACAAAGAAGGGACATTTAATCTTTTTCTCTCTGCCTCGTGTTGTGAATGCTCCCTCCCTTGATTTTTGTGAATAGTGATAATTTTTTAACTTTTTTAGTAACTTTTTAGTTTTCTATCTTTTATATAATATCCCAAATAAGCACTGGGTTGTATTTGGTTAATAAATTTGAGAAAATATTTAAAAATGAAAGGAGAAAAAGTGTGTAAAATATAGTTATATTTGATTCATATTTTTATCTAACTTTTTTTTTAAAATATTTATTTAAATTCATAAACTAAACAAAATGTAACTACGAAGAAAAAAAAAAAGTAAGTAAAACAAAAATTTTAAAAATATCTATGCTCTTTGGTATAAAAGTATGTACTTTCTTTGTCATACAAATATCTAGAAATCTAAAAATACCTACTGTACAAGCACGAAATAATCTTCCCGTATAATTCTGTTGATCCAGTTTGTACTCCTCCAAACGTCATCGCTTTACTTCCTGAAAACACAAACGTGAGCTAGCCGGCGGGTGTGTGCTGAATACCTCTCCGATACCTAAGTCAGCAAATAGACAATAGACAAAAAGTTCTGTGTTTTTGAGAGTAAAAGTTATGATACCTGTACCTAGGTCCTGTTATGAGTTTTTATAGATTTTGCCTAGTACAATCCTAGTAGGATTCTAACTCTCCTTATAAAAGTCCTCCTGGGAATCACACTCCCAGTGAAGAGTGTCTATTTTGATAACATTCCACTTACTACCAACCAAGT